AGCCGGAGGATGTCGGACCAGTAACTTAAGTTAAAATGTATGTAACATAGATACAAGAATCTTAATAAAGGTTTACGACAAGGCTGCCAAAGATAAAAAAAAAAAAAATAAAAAAAAATAAAAAAATTTAACCTGATGATCCCTTACACCAACTTTTTCCAAAAGTCTGACCTATAAAAACTATATAGTTATTGTATTTAAAATAAAACAAAACTCTACTTTAGAGTAACTAGGAAGCTATTCACTGCATGCTTGGTTGTAAACTGAAAAAAGTTGAAAAAGATTCGAACCCTTGTAAGCGAAGTCTCTTGGTTAAACACAAGTATTACCAAGCAAAGAAGTAGTAGATAAGCTCTGGAGCTTTGTCAAGTGCTATAAAGGCTTAGGTCTAAATAGTTACTTGGTTTAATATAATATTCTATATAGCGTAACTCTTACAACTCCTTATTAAGTTGGTTTTTCTTTTCGCCCTTATTATTGGATTTTTTTCTTGGAATTTTTACCAAAAAGTTGGAAATCTGGCATACCCCCTCCAAAGGATCAGCACTGTTTATCTTGCCAAATTGGTAATGTTAGTCATGAGAAAACAATGAGACAAGTATCAGACCTACGATGGATAACACGTGTCAAACTCAAGAGGAAAACAAAAACTTCGACCATTTTCTCCACGTGACAAATGGAATATATTATAATACAGAGATAAAGCAAATGTGGAGTAGCCTTTATTTAGTATTATATAGAATTTTTTAAAGCTAAGCACAGGCAAAAATAGTGCCTTTATGTTTCTTTTTGTTCTTTTCTTTGTTCTTTTTTTTTTTATCTTTTCTTTTTTCTTTTGGTTTACGTTTAGGTCTTGTAGTTAGTTCCCCCCTTTTTTTACTTCCTTTTTAGTTTTTTTTTCTTTCTTATATCCTGTTGTTCTTTAGGCAAGGATTATAGAATCCTCTTGCTTGATAATTGAAAGAGAAAAGGAAAAACGAATTGAAGATGAAGCCAGGAAGACAATATATGCTTGTCACAGAAGGGGGAAGACCCTTCTGGTATGACTTTAAGTAGTCAGATGAGCAATCTATCTTTAACTAAGATAGTGCGGCAGGTTGCACTTAGGTACCGTTAGGGTGGCCGAGTGATGCTAAACTTAGATATTGAGAAATTCTATGCAATTGTATAAATATATAGTTTCAAGAATCTTAATAAAGTACTAGCGTAACTGCTTAAGGAGAAAAAAAAAAAATAAAAATAAAAATAAAAAAAAAAATTTAATATAATTAAAGTAATAATATCTATACTAAAGTTAATTTTCTTATACTTTATAATGATTAATAAAAGAAATTAATTTTTTTTATAATTTGTAACTATATATATTAAAAATAACTATTAATTTTTTTAATTTTTAACTATATAATATATATTACAGTATATATATATTAAGTTTTAAAAGAAATAATTTTTAAAAAAATTAATTCTAATAAAATTAACTATAATTCTTACTATATAATTTAGTTAAAAAAATCTTTCAGATAATGTTTCTAAAAACAGATATCTGAATTAAATCTGCAAGAGTCTATTATTGGAGTTTTATTCTATTATTGTCTAACCATCCAATAGTAAAATTCTATGTAACTTCTGCAGATTCAATTTGGATATCTACTATTTGAGTGCTGCAGAATAAAAAGCTAGAAGTAAATATTTAAGTTCTTATTATAGTGAATTTAGCTTCTAAAGTACTTCAATATTATGTACTAATAAACAATAATTTGATAGTTTAATAATAATAAAAATTTTACTAAATAATTAGAACATTAATTATATATATAATTAATTGCATAACATCAGAATTCACAAAACTAAATAGACTAAACTCACTATGATGAAAACTTAATATTCACTTTTAGCTTTTTACTTTGCAACACTCATTTCAGAAACTTGCAATATTTAAATACAATATTTTGTTACTATATATTTTTATGTATAAAAACTAAACAGCAAAATTTAATTAGAGTAAAATAATAATTTTAAAATTTTTTAGTTTTTTATAAATATGTGTAAAGCAAGTAAGTATGATATTTATTATTAATAAACTTATATTAAAAAATTTATATATGCAAACCAAAACTTTAAATTTATATTAACAAACTTAAATCTGCCAAATTTAAATATTAAGTCTAAATCTTTGCTATTAAAAGATAATACCTATTCAAATTATATACAAATTTTTTATGACTTAGCATTACCAGTCTAATAGATTTCACACATAATGTAATTTTATTATAAAATCAAGAAAAAAATTTCTCTAAAAAAAACATTTTACTATTAGGTTAGCATTAAAGTATTGCAAGTATGTTAGGTTTAGAGAACAACAGTTATATTAAAATTTTGTAAAAAAAACTTTTTGCCAATATACAAAAGGCTGTTTTATAAATAAAATTTTAAGTTACAGATAATTTTTAGATTGTTTTAGTTTTTTAAACTTTCCTACTACACCTAATCTCAAAATTTGATTGGGCAGCAAAATTTTTTAGACTGGTTATTTTTAAAGTTGTTAATTTTTTCTACTAAAAAGTGTATACCTATTCACATTAAGTCTGAATATTTTGCTACTAAAAAGTTTATGTTTATTTCAAATTAAATAGTTAGTAATAAAACTTAATTAAATTTAATATAATAAAGTAATTTAAACAATAACATTTTCAATTACCTTTATAGTATAACTTTGTATAGTCCAATATATGGCAATATATTTTGTTTTCTAAGTCTATCAGTTTTAAGATTATATTAGTTCTTACTATTGAGTATTTGAATTGAACATTAATATTTGAATCAAAAATTTTTTCGAATACTTAACAGTATAAACTAACTCAGATTATTTTTGCATAATAAACAATAGAATTTGATTGAATCTAAGGATGGTATTTTGTAATAATTTTTTGTTAGTAAATACTATGTTTTTAAAAAGTATTGTAATCTATAAATAAGTTGCCTAAAATTGATTTTGCATTAACCAATCAGACAAATTTCAGTCTATATGCTTTTAATATAAATATAAGTTTGTTTATATTATCTAAAATTTATATAACATCAAATAAATCAAAATTGTTTTAAAATATATATAACTTATAATTAATAGTTTATAATTTGTAAGTGCTGCCAATAATAATAATTAGTACAAATTGCAAATACTGATTACATATTAATATAGATCAAAAAAACTTATCTGTATTATTGAGTTATGAATAAAATTATAAAGTATATAGCTGTAACAATTCTACATTAAAGTAATTTTTTAAAATTGGATATAATTTTTTGAAGTTTGTTATACAAATTAAAACTGTCATTAATTTTTGTTTACAGTAAACATTAAAGCTTTTTAATGTAATTTTTAATGTTCTAATAGTATAATTAAATTTAAATTTTAGTAATAAATATATAAGCCAAGCAAAATTAATGCTTTAGTTTCCAACCTGTAATTAATAAAAAAAATAATAATAAAACTTATTAAGAATTTGTCTTAGTTTGTGTAAAAGCAAATAGTTTGTAGTTAATAATTTTAATGATTGAGATTTCTGACTTTTGAACTAATACTTAGCACATATAGCCTATTGATTGAAATTTAAAAGATCTATTAGCATATATGCTTTGAAAAATATTTGTAACAAGAATTTAGCTTGAACTACAGAAATAAATAATCAAAATATTAATCATAAAACATTTTAAAAGAAATATTTCAACAGCATAAAACACATCTTGCACATAATTGTAAATGAAAATACCAAAAGAAAACAGCTGAAACTACTAAAAAATGTAAAACACACCTAAATTATAGTATAAAATAATAATGAAAAAAGGTTGAGCAATTACAGAATAAAAAAAACATTGTAGATGCAAGTGTTCTGCCTATAGATATTACTATTATAATTGCTGCTTCTATAAATCTTATTGGCATTATTACTACAAATGCATCAGTAATAAAAATTACTAATGCAAATATAATAGAAACAATTAGTAGCAGTTCTAATGTTGAGAATGCAAATATTATTACTTTAAATGCTGCTAAAACAACTGTTAATACTATAAATATAGCAGAAATGTCTATTATGACAACAGATATAGTGAGAATAAATGCTCAAATACCTTTAGCTACTGTTCTCTATGAAGTTGATTATAAGCTTTTATGAAAGTTTTGTGCTAAAATAAATAGACTAAAGCATGCTTAATATCCTATATATAATAAAAGTTTTTTATTAATAGTACTTGTAAAGAAACAATGCTATTATAGTTATAGTAAAAAAATGCTTTTTAAAAAATTCTCTTAAGAAAACAACATGGACTTTAGTGAAGTTTTTAAAGAATTAAAAGATCTTACAGGAATTAAAGAGATGCTAATATTGCAAGTTTTTATAATAATGTCTGTATATAAACTTTATAAAAAACAATATAGGTATAGAGGAAATATTATAAACTTTTTTTAAAACATTTAAGAATTTATTACTCAGCTTCTCCATCATCTATTATTATTAAAAATACTAATTGTGCATTATAAATCTTTTAATGATTCTGCAGCATTTAAAGATTTTAGTGTTCATTATACCAAAATTGCTTATGCTCTACAATGGTTAAAGAAAAATAATCAATAATGAAGTACTTTTAACCTTACCTAAAAATGGCCCAGTTGATGATCAACTTTTTCAATTTTACAATAATGCTTTATATTTTAAAAATAAAAATGATGCAATCTTATATAGCTTTGTATTTATACTTCTCTTAATATATAATAAAAGAAGTTTCATTAATAATGCTATTGAGCATGTGCAAGCCAAAAAACTACCATTAGAATGGCTGCAGATTAACAGTAATTCTGTTAATAAATTTTAAACTTTAGGCTACATCATATAAGCATTTTTTACTTTTTATTCATATAGCTATACAGATCTTCATTCTGAACATATTAAAAAAGTAAAACTAGCTAAATATTTTAAACATCTACTTTTGTACAAAGATGAAAAATTTGCATATCATACTCATTAAAGATATTTGCACTAAACTTCCAAATATGATAATAGGCATTACAAAAAAGAAGTATGTTTGTTAGATAAAACTTGAATAATAACTAGCTAACTGTTAAAAAAATACATAATGTGATAGTTAATAGTAATAATTATATATTTAACTAAATTATATAATATAGAGAAAGTTCATATGAATCTAGGCAGTTTTGGATAGTGCAGAGCTGTAAGCTATCTGATATAATTAAACAAATAGATTCACAAGAATTGGTATTCTTTACATTTAGTACTGCTGACTTGCATTAGTCAGAACTCTATAAACTTATAAGAAAAAGTAGTGACTACAGAGAGAAAAATAACTTAGCTAAACAATATAGTCAGAATATTATTAATAATCCTCATATCATTAGCTGGTTTTTCAATAAATACTTTGAGATTTTTTTTGAAGAAATGTTAAAAAATTGATGGAACTGAAAAATTGATAATATAGATTTGAATAATAGCATTGTGATAGTGTTTATTTACATGAAATAAAAAAAGAAGAAGTGCATTTATAATTAAGTAAAAGCATATAAAAAGTAATGAAAATATAATAAAGGAAGTTATACAATATCTTAATAACTTAGTTATTACAATAGACCTAGGACTTAATGCACCCATATCTGATTACTATCTATATCAAAAAAATTACAATAAAATATATAATAATCTGCAAGATTATATTGATCTTATTAATAAATTACAACAATACACATAATACAGCCTTTTATACTGCCTTTGTATTAACAAATCTGGTTAACAATTTTGTAAATATAGATATTTCAAGAATATTAATGAACATACTTATTTGTATGATGATAATTATAGACATCTAGAACTTGTAACTAAAAGAAATAATTTATTTGTTAATCTACATAGTAGACTGCAATTACAAGGTTGAAGAACCAATGTTAACTTAAAGCCAGTTCTTAGCATTTATGCAGTTTTACGATATATATATAAGTATACAAGTAAGGCAAAGTCAAGATTTACAATGTTTTTAGATATATTAAATCATATACTTTGTAATAGCAGATCTGAAGATTTATTACTTATTGCAATTCAAAAACTGCTATTATATAATGTTGTAGAATATAATATCTTGGCACAAAAAACTTGTTACTTACTTCTTAAAATTTCTCTTTATCACTTTAATTGCTTATTTATTTTTTTAAATCTTAATACAAAAACATCTAGATGCTTTGTAGTACTAGCAATAATACAGTTAGTAAAGCTAGAATGGCTTCACAGTTAGTTTTAAGAACTTATTAGACAAACCAGTTGAGTATAAAGATTTTTCATTATACAAACTTAACTTAACATATAAATTTATAGACAATAAATATATAAGATATAAACATGAAAACATTATACACATTTGGCCATATTTCTTACCTCTATATAATAGTCCTTAATAGGAGGATTTTTGTTACATTAAGGTTATTTTTTATATTTGTCATCACAATCTTAATTAGCTAACAGAAAATAATACAGCTTTATAAACAGTCTTATATAAACATTACTTTAAAGAAATTTATACTAATTCAGTTGGTCTATTTAGTTCTTCTGTAAACAATAAAGAAGTTGATAATATTGTAGAAGTGAATAAAGAAGAATAGTTTAAAGATGATGAACAGAAGGAACTTTATCTTAAAGGATGAAATGAATCTAAGAGCTAATATAGTTGATTCTTCTAATTTAGAATCTTATAGCATAAATAGAAGTTATAACTAGATTAATAAAACCAGACAATGCTATTCAAATTCTGATATTAGAGATGCAGATATTTTTATACAGCAAGCTTTTAATACTTTTATAATAAATAAAAATATATTAAATGAAATTGATTATCAGACTTTAAATAAAGATCAAAAAATAGTCTTTAATCAAATAAAAACTTATTATTGCAGTATACTTAAAGGCCATCAGGTTAAACTATTAAAAATTATTATAATAAGAATTACAAAAACAGAAAAATCATACCTTATAAAAGTTATTTGAAACAGACTTTATATGATGACAATAAACAAGGTTGATTTTTTTATCCTTGTTCTTGCTTTAACAGGAGTTGCAGTCTTTAATATTAATAAATTAATACTTCATTCAATGCTTTCTCTTTTTATATTATCTAAAAATAATTTTAATATAAAAAGTAAAAGGTTGAATTAATTACAAAGCAAACTAAGCCATGTAAAATATTTTATTATTGATAAAAAGAGCCTGATCAGATGCTATATGCTTGCCTTAATTAATATATAATTGTGGCAAGCTTTTTCTGAACATAATAATAAACCTTTTAGTAATCAATTTATTATTATATTCAGAGATTTTGGTCAGCTTCTATTTGTACTAGACCTTCTGGTATATGCTAACAATATTTTATGAACCTTATTTTTAAATGATGGCCTTATAGTGTATAAACAGTTTTTAGAAGTGTATAAGCTTAAAGTAATTTAATGACAATCTGGTAATTCTAAGAAACAACAAAACTTTAAAGATATCCTCTTATATTTGTATAATGAAAAATCTACTATAACTAATTAGAAAACTCTTATTACAAAAATTGAAGATAAATTAAGCAAAATCAAGTAAAAGCAATTCTCAGATGCTAAATATATTTTACCAAAATGGGTTGAAGTTGACAAAATTAATATAGAAAAGCTTAAATCATTAAATTGTCTTATTACAAAAATCATTACTACATATACTGGCATTAGTGCAAAAAACACAGATTTTAATATAGTGATAAATCTTGAAGCACAACTCTTATTGACTAAAGGTGCTCAAATTATGCTAACTACTAACCTATAAACAAAAGCAGTATTAGTTAATAGAGTAATAGAAATTGTTCAAGATATTCTATTTGAAGATCAAAAGCCACTTTCTTTGCCTATAGCAGTTTTAATTTTCTTTAAACATTATAAAGGCCACATTATTACTGCTTTAGATAAAAAAAAGTTGTTCCAATTGCACTAATCTGGCATATATAAGAAGATAAAGTTAAAATATACTTATATTTATAAGTTTTTGTCTGTCTTGCATGAGCAATTACTGTGCATAAAAGTTAAAGTTTTACCTTGTTGCAGGCTATAATAGACTTTAGTAATAAAAAATTTGCTGCTAGTCTTTTATTTGTAACAGTATCCAAAGTTCATGCTTTTAATAATCTAATGTTTAAACTATTCATGTTTGAAAAACTCCAAGATATAAAAAACTGTAAGTGAATACAAAAAAAAAAAGCTAAAGAAGAATGTTGATCTCATTAAATAATTGTTGAAAAAATAAAAAATTATTAGTTTTTAATTTTTAAAAATAAATATTCAGAAAATTTTTTTTAAAAAAAAATAAATTATTTCCTATTATAAACTTGGCTTTGACTAATTTTATATATAATCTGTAAATGATCAGTATAAAAAAAAGTTAATAACATATTTATATAAACATTGTAATGATAATAAAAAAAAGAGCAATTATATAATTATAATATGTTATATAATAAAATAAGCAATTGAGCATATTAAATACTCAAGTAAGTCATATTATATAATAAAATAAGTGATCAAGTAGTACTTGAGTCAAGTTATATTGTATTGTATAATAAAATAAGTTATCATATAGTACTCAAGCCAAGTCATATTATATAATAAAATAAGCAATCAAGTAGTATTTGAGCCAAGTTATATGAGATTTTTATATTATACAGATATGCAAGTAAAGACAAACAGAAAGTACAAAGTTGCATTTTTAATATTTTTATTATAAACACATCAATAATGATACTTTTGATGCATTAAAAACATAACTATTGTATTACTTTGCATAGAAATTAAGAGTTTTTTACTATGTTTCAGACAATTATTATATATATATTATATTATATTATTATATTATTATATTATTATATTGTTATAAAAAGAAGTCAGAAGGAATAGCAACAAGAAGAAAGCATTGTCAAGTTACAGAAATTAATTAAGCATGCAAAAACTAAAAAGATACAAACAGTAACAGAAGAAGAAAGTAGTGAAGTAAATGAACAATTAAAGATGCTAAGCAAGAAAATCAGTGCAAAATTACCAAAACTACAAAGACAATGATCAAATGCATAAATAGAAGATATAAAAGGTTGGAGAAAG